ATTAGTTTACGGTAAATAAAGCTCGTTGTGGGAGGACATAGCTTAAAAAGTCGAATTTTCCATTTATCGCACGTCGCGATACAAACATAAACGATAAAATTTATTGCAGGATTACGTTTTTCAACGGTTTTGAATAAAACGTGTATAAAACCACGAACACCAAGCTAATAAATTGAAGAGAAAGGGAGGCTCGGGCGAGCTTTAACACGCCCCTGAACACGCCCGCCGCGGCGCCTCGAGGGTCCTTGAAATGGTCCGAAATCTCACGTGGTTTTCATAACTGTCAAGTGGCGCTAGGACTACCCGCGAATACCGTGTGCCATTAATCCTAAAAATAAAATCCGACGATGACTATTTCTTGGTATTAACGTCATCCTTGATACTCGATCCCATTGAACGTTTCACATGCTCGAAGGATATTAAAATAATCCATAAATTCACTTTCACTTGCGATCCATAAAGTTGCTGAATATATCTCGAACCCGCGACCAATATTCATAATTCAATTAAACAGAAAACTGTCAGATTAATAATTTCTTTTTTAAACTGAATTTATTTAATAGAAATAGATTTCATCGAACGCAGCGAATGTTTGCCATCATGGTGCAAGCGGTTTTACGCCATTCGAATAGAAATTTGACGATTTTCAACCTTTAAAGAGCATCAAAATCTTCATTCGACTATTAAAATTCCGACGATTAATTAAATTAATTCATACTAAATATGAATTCGAAACAGCTTTCGAAGCAAGCAAATACAGGAGTTGAACGCGAGCGATGGAATTAATAAAAAGATCAACGAGAATTTAAAAACTTTCGGCACAATCCGCGATATTTCTGTCCGCGAAGCATTGTCGAAAGGAATTCAAATTATTCGAGGGAATCCAAGCACGGATTATTAACGCCGACACACGTTGAACCAAAGTTAGCCGAGCTCGAAGACCCGGTCTTTCGCCAACAAGATAGGGAAACGTGTATGTATGTGCTTGCTAACGTTCTACGCGTCCGTAGAAAACAGCTGAGAGTCGAGAAGACGAGTGTTCCACCGTATGATACATCCACGACGAAATTAATGCCCCAGGATTCCCGGTCCCAAGGACAGAGGCTTGTAGGATTGGAGGACGAAACATTCTATCGCAATGGTGCCACCAACATCCTTGCATACCGCCGATCAGCCGCGATACGATAAATTTTCCAAGACTCCGCGTTTGCCCGATGTTGGGAAATACTGTTCGCTTTTAAGGAATTCCGCTTTATCTCGGAAATGCGTGGTACACAATTTCACCCGCGAGTCGCCGATCTACCGGCCACTCCGTTCTGCATTGTTCAAATATTTCCAGGAATGCGAGTCGCGTACACCGCTGGATTCGTGGGAGACGCTACGCTCCCATAAATAAACTACGCTCGAATAGATCTCACGGAAAATTAAACAGCGATATCATGCGTCGAACCGATACACGCGTCCGTCGTCCTCGTTGGAAATTTACATTTCCGTGACGCACCGGATTTCTAAGACATTCGCAAGTTCGGAATTCGTAAACCGATCGTAGTTATATGAAAAATTATATTAACCTTTAACAATAAAAATCAATAAAACCGTAAAATCTGGCAGGAAACATTGGAAGAATAGGTACGATTGTTTCGATGAGAATATATCAACGAAGTTTTATTTTAAAAAATGAATATCTCTTCTCTATATTTGATGCGAAAATTTTCAGTAAAACAATTTCTCTTCGTCTGAAAAACAGTCTGGACTTGGCAGTGTAAACTGGAAATACATAGTTTTGGTCCCCTAAGGGTTAACCCTGTGCACTCGAGGCCATTCTAACTGTAAATCTAAAATCATTTTTCCGACTTATAGTACTTTCATTTTACAAGACAAAGCGCATTTTACGCGTACGAGATTGAGCCTCGTGATTCATGCAACTTATTACACTTTCAGTAATTTTTCAAATCTAAACTTTGATAATATAAAAATTATCTTAGAACGTGATACAAAAATTTTTTAGTGGTGCCTCGGAATCACCACTCGAGTGCGAGGGGTTAACAATATTATCCGTCGTGTGCGACCGCCCTGGTAATCGAAGCGTTAACCATAACTTTTTACATGTACATCCGACGTGAAAAATGTTTGCTTTCGCGATTTGATGTAGGCAAACAATTAAGTGACGCCACAGTGACGCCAGTGCCCTCGGCGATGGTTCTACTTAGATTAGAGCATTCCGTAGTGAAAGAGTTATCATCGGTAGTCAAAAACAGCAGCAGATTAACACGTTGAATGCCACGGGGGTCACCGGTGACTGGCGCTTAACACTTCCACGACCGCGCTAGAAAGCTAAAAAATTTTCATAAAATTAAAATATTTCATTCGATTAAACAAAAATTATGAAGCAAACTTATATGGCATCGATTACTCCTTCGGCATTCGTACCTCTTGCAAATCTTAATAAAATTAGGCAATTAAACAAAAATTATGAAGCAAACTTATATGGCATCGATTACTCCTTCGGCATTCGTACCTCTTGCAAATCTTAATAAAATTAGGCAATTAAACAAAAATTATGAAGCAAACTTATATGGCATCGATTACTCCTTCGGCATTCGTACCTCTTGCAAATCTTAATAAAATTAGGCAATCATTTTTAATTTTTGATCAATCATCCATTCGATCGTCAACCGACTGAATTTAAAACGGGTAGATCTCCCCGTTCGGTTGGCTAAGTGTTAACTTGGCGATGACGCCATGGGGGCTACCGGTGACCGGCGCACCCAAATCGATAGAAATATATATAATTTAACTCCTTAATGCACAGTTTTTTTGAAAGAGGCCGACCAAAAAAAATCAATTTGTTTTCATGTAAAAAGACACAATTTAGAACATTGTCTTGGCAAGAAAACTACAAAAATACAAAAATATTAAATATTTATACAATTAGTATGATTTCTAATTTTCAGAATATTACTATTATTATTATTATTGTTGTTATTATGATGATGATTATTATTATTACTATTATATTTTATTTTACATTATATTTTAGTAAAATATATATTGAAAAATGAGCGAATCAGAATCTGAATATGAATACGCTGTCGGAAGAGATAAGTCGTAAGTGATAAGTAGAAAAAGTATATATTTTATACTTGAATAAGCAAGTGTTATAGCTTACAATCCCATGTAAATAATAAATATCAATAAAACGATTGTTTTTTTTTGCTTTCACATTGTTATTTTCAATTATCGATTGCATTCGAGTGTAAAAAATTATAGCAACATAAAGTACAACGCCGCTCGAATTATCTCGAGCGTGCACAGTTCGGCCAGTTTAGCGCGCTCGAGGTGACTCGAGCGTGCACGTCAAGGGGTTAAAACAAATGTCAATATCTAAAATTTTGTATTATCACCATCGTCGATTCAAACAGTGACCCCTGTCGCAATTAACATGTCAAACATGGTTATACACTGTAACGTATCTATTGCAGATAATATTTCAACATTAAACAATATTATAACATAAAAGGAAATTCATCGTGACGCCACGGACAATTTCTGTAAAACCGGCCTGGCATTCGACGTGTTAAGAAACACCGAAGAATTAAGAACAACAATGATCTGCGCCGAGGGGAATCAAAGAAAAGAGATTAGGACAGCCCGCGAAAGAATGAAAACAAGTTATCGCGGTATGTAACCGAGTCCGCGCGTCGCGAGATTTATTTTAGCAACCGGTAACATTTTCACGGGATCGGACGTAACAACATCCACGGGCCGAGCGTTCGCGAGGCAATAGGAGCTCGTGGAATAATAGAGTAAAACTCACTCACATCGAACTGGAACACTCCCTCTCCGGTGGCAAGAGGCGGCAAGGCGGCGCGCGGCAGGCTGTAAGACGGAAGAGGGAAACTCCTCTGCGAAGGCCTGTGCATCGCCTAACAATCATAGGTTCGTCAACCTCCAGGCATTCCAGCGTTCGACTACTAAATACTCGAGAGGGTAAGTAGCTAGTTCAGGCTTTAGTGGCAACAAACGGAGCCGCTTCGCCTAGCGTAGACCGGGGAGCGGTAGTTTCGTGAAAACGTTGCGTCGGCGCCTCCACCTTCAGCCACCTCGGTGGAAGGAACACCCACGCCTGGGTTGCGCTTGGCTGCACCAACACGCCACGCCGCGCCGGTCGCGTCGGATGCACTCTCGCGCATTGTGCATATGCATGGGGGCAGAGTGCCGCGAGCCGCGAGGACTCCGGGCACACGGCGCACACCACACACGTATCGCATTGACGAGTTCCCGCCCGAGAGTCGGCGGTTGGTCGTTGCTTTGGCAGCTCCTCGTCTCTGCCCTCGGCCAGGTAGCGTGCGAGTGTGGTGCGCGCGGAGCGTGCGAGCGAGCGAGAGTCACGCCGGCGAAGATAAAGCGAGATACGGACACGGCCGGATAAGGAGGGAGATAAGGGAGCGTGGGAGAGAGATAGGCGGCGCGCGGGAGCGAGAGAAAAAATGCTGTAGGAAAAGGAAAAAATGGACGGGTGAGGGAGACGCGGAGGAACCGCGAGAGACCGCGGAGAGACACGGAGAGGAGAGCGAAGGAGCAGCGTGCCAGCGAGCGCTGTACGAGGATGGAAGCCTCGGGAAGGAGCGAGACGGATGGAAAACACGAGCGCGCGAGAGCAGGAAAATCGGCGGAAGGGAACAACCGTGAACCGTTGCTGCAAAGAGATTAGAAAAAGAATGGAACGGTAAAAACGAAGGAAAGTCGGGAACGCGGGTTCCGAGGGGGGCCGAGAAAAGTATCGGGGAAAAAGAGGAACGGACGGAAAGAGTAAACGCGGGCGGCGAGGAGGAAAGGAGAAGCGAAACGGTAGGAAGAAAGGGACGGAGAAAACGGCTGGAGAAGGAACGCGATCGCCGCGGCACCGGGCTGGAGGCTTGGCGGGACAGAGACCGAAAGAAGGGTAGAGCGCTCGACGCTCGTCGCTCGCGCTCGTCTCGTACGGTCGGTTTGCCGCCTGCCGCCTGCCGCGTAGTAGTAGCGTGCCGAGACTCGAGCGGGCAGCAAGCGGCAAGCAGCAACCAAGCTGTGCTGAACGTCGTCGTCGCGTCGTTTCTCAGTGTCGCCGCGGCGGTCGTGCCAGACGGTTCTGACAGTAGTTTTTCGCGGTGCTCGTGACACCCGTCCCCGTCTACCCGCGATTCCGTTTCTGCCGCCATGTGCCGTTTTGTGGAACGTGTCACTTGGATTAGACACGCATCCGCCGACGGACCGTGATCCTGCCGGAGGTTACCGATCGTCGGATTCGGTTGACAACTCGTGCGATCCCTCCGCAGCAGTCTTTTCTGCCTCCTCTTCTTCTTCTTCTTCGTCTTCCTCCTATCCGTCCAAGCTATCCCCAATCAAGGACTCCGCGCGCTTTTCGGTGCTCTTTGACAACTGACACTGTTGTTCCCGGAGACTGTGCTTCGATCGCGAACGTTTGGCGGGAACATCGATCAGTCGATACCGCACCGGCGGCGATGCTGCGAGAATCGAAAGTGTGACGTCCAGACCACGTGCGACACCGGCGCCATCCGCGTGCTCGATTTCGAATTTCGCGCGACCACGCAGCCCGTAGTGCGCAGTGCGTAATGGTCGTCGCGTCGTCGCGTCGTCGAGTTCGTTGGCGAGTGCGGGCTTCCCAGTGAATTCGAACTGAAAAGAAGTGTGAGAAACGTGGTGTTGCTGCCGGCTCCTCTATCTCTCTCTCTCCCTCTCGCTTTCTCTCTGTCTCCCGCTCGTCCCGCGTCTCTCTTTCGCGTTCTTCCGCGAGTCTGTTTTCTCGTTTCCTCAGGTTAGGTATTCCGTGCCTCCGCTCCTCCGCTCCACCGTTACTCTGTTTCTCTCGTGGCCGTGGAACACACGGCGGGTGGCACATCGTAGCCGCGTCTCGCGCGGCGTTTCTACAAGTGGATTTAACCTTGCGACCGAACACGTGGATGCATGCAGTCCTGTCGACGACGGCGTGCTCCTGACCGGCGGACGTGTCTGCACGAAAATTCTAGGTAAACACCGCGTTTTCGTTGGCAGCCAGACACTGCCGTTGCATGCTAGACATCGCGAACACGATGCCCGTCGTATTTTCACCGACGGACACCGGGCCCGTTCGTTCGGTCTAATTATTTTTGGTACCGCTGCTGGTTTGACAACCTTGCTCGCCGGCTCTTTGGCGGCGCGGAGCTTGTTCGGGAAGTGTTCGCGAGAACGGAACCACTTTTGATCTTGATGACCACCGCATGGTTTAACCTCTTAACTTGTACGCTCGTTGTATTATAGCAGCGTTGTATTTTATGCTGCTATAATTCTTCACACTCGAATATAATCGAGAATTGAAAGTAACAATGTGAAAGCAAAGAAAAAAAATCGTTTTATTGATATTTATCATTTCAATATTTGTCAATATTTAATAATATTTATATATTATTAATTATTTAATATTTATTATTATTATTATTATTATATTTATATATTAATAATAATTCAATATTTATCAATATTTGTCATTTGCATGGGATTGTAAGCTGTAACACTTATTTATTCAAGAATAAAATATAGCCTTTTTCCATGGAAAAAAAGTCGATGTACGTGTAACATCGCAATATTCGGCTCTTTCCTGCAATGTGGATCAAGATCCAAAATTAAAATTAAAATTTTGATTATTTTTGTATTTTTTTCGTTTTTTTGCCAAGACAATGTTCTAAATTGTGTTTTTTTACATTAAAAAAAGTTCATCTTTTTTGGCCGGTTTAAAAAAAAACAACGATGTGTTAAGAGGTTAAGTATGTTCCTCTTCTGGTATCGCGGCAGATGTTCGAACTAGCGGCACCGGTGGGACATCTATTGCTATTTGTAGTGCAACGTGAAATGACGAATAATGTTCGCGGTATCGTGGAGCGATTGATTCTTTGGAAATGTAATAATGGCTATCGAGTTTCGCGAAAAGTGTGCGAAACACGTTGGAATCGAGGCGTTTCTTGTTATGCAGTTCGCGTACGATGAATGCACGTTATGAGGGTGCCGGCATAGTACGATAGAATTATGCGAGAGATAAAGTAGGTTTATATCCGCCAATGACCCTTTTTCCGAAGACTGCTGAAAGAGCATTTTCGTGTCATTTCGCAAGTAATTTTTCTGTTCAAAACGATGCCAATTGAACGCTAAACGCGATTGAAATTAGCAACAAATCACTCTCGTTAGCAAGAAATTAACTACAAAGAAACGAATTCGTATGATGATCGAGTTTACCGACTTATGTATACGACTCATCTATTGACGTTACATTGCAGGATTATTACATCGCATAAAAATACTTTTACAACGTCCACGATCGGCAATTTCGCGGGTAACGATGCAACAGTTTTACATAAATTGGTTGACAATTATCAAAAAGTGAAATGCCCGATGAAAGTTGTCCATTTGTACAACGTTTGGACACATTAGAAAGTATTTAATATTCGCCGCGAAACACTGTTATCGATCTTCTCGAGGGTCTTACGTATCGAGCTGTCAATGGTGATTTCGTCAAGTGTCGAAAGCGACATCGATTACCTTGTTGACGTAACCCAGATCGCCGAGCAGTTTACACGAGTGTTTAACTCGAAATTAACAATCGATCGTCGTTGTTTACAATTTCTTTTTGATCGCCGTTAGGCACTGCACTCTTTAACCCATTGACCGCCAACTACGAGATATCTCGTAGTAAGCGTCTGTACCAAAACTGCCAGCTACGAGATATCTCGTAGTGGGTGCTGCAAGTTTAGATTGGCTACAGATGGCTATTTGAGTTAGGAACTATTAGAAAGGATGAATGAAAAATGTATATGTGTGGAGAACACATTGGTTATCAATAAAAAAATACTGTAAATGCCATTGCAATATTATATCAGTGACTTAATATTATTATTATATATGAATAATATTATATTATATATTGTAAATGCCATTGCAATATTATATCAGTAACTTAATATTATTATATATATTAATATTATATTATATACTGTAAATGCCATTGCAATATTATATCAGTAACTTAATATTATTATATATATTAATATTATATTATATACTGTAAATGACATTGCAATATATTATATCAGTAACCTAATATTATTATATATATTAATAATATTATATTATATACTGTAAATGACATTGCAATATTATATCAGTGACTTAATATTATTATTATATATTAATAATATTATATTATATATTGTAAATGCCATTGCAATATTATATCAGTAACTTAATATTATTATATATATTAATAATATTATATTATATACTGTAAATGCCATTGCAATATTATATCAGTAACTTAATATTATTATATTTTGTAAAACTTCATGTTTTCTTTCAAATAAAACCGTGGCACCCAGGGCAAGACGCGCTAAATTTGCGCGGCAGTCAATGGGTTAACGCGTATGCAGATCGTTGTCTCCGATACCGATCTCTGCGTTACCCTTATCGATGGTTTCACCGCCATCCGATACTCACGATTACCCGAATACATACATACTATTACGATATAATCAATGTTACGAGTGTAGACGATTTCGTTTCTCGATTTGCCGACGGCGGAGTGCACGTACACCGTGGACAGCTGTTAGATTTCTTTTGATATTTACTCGAATTGGATGAATCGAGTAAATGAAATACGACACAATTTTTAGTAGCTTTACTTGAATTTTTACTTTCGGTAAATTAAAGATTTACCGATTAACAGAAATACATTATAATCTGGAGTCACTCGATACATTTTTTTTACAACATTCTGGGTTATATTTATGCATACGTTCTGCAAAATTACAGAAAAAGTTAGATTCGAATGCTGTGGCAACTGAAACCTTTCTACTAATGTTGTTTCGAATCTAGATCTCGCTGAACTGTCTATAAAAAAAGAAAAAGAAAAAAACGGAGAAACAGACATTCGTGCTAACAAAGTGGACGAAATCGCGTTGTTCGCGGTATTCTTTGAGGAAGCACGCAGAATCGAAAAAGGTGTCGGTCGGTACACGGCGGGCACTAACTACAAGCGGTAGTAGTGGTCCGTAATCGATCGATTTATCGAACGGCCGATTGCTATCTGCCGAAGACCCGTTCCGCAAGTATGCACGATTCTCGAAGGCGAAATCCTGATTACGATTCTGCTCACAATCAATGTCGCGGTGACATCATCGAGGATCATCATCCTCGTGGAATTCCCTGCCGATTAAATATGCACGCGATAACTGCCGATCTTTTGCGTAGCCATTTCTCTCGGCGATGGTAGTTTCTCGTGTGCCGAAAAAAATTGGCATTCAGTATTCACGCTTTCGATGCTCTCCGCCGGATTATATCGACGCGCGCGTTTCGGTTAATTTCATATTGAAATTCAGATCCTGGTTTCGCTCGTCACAATCCGGCGGATTATTCGCTTCGCCTTCGGTACTTATTTCTCGGATTCTTTTCGAGCCTCTTTGTTTAATGCCAGTAACAGTATCTTATATCATGGGATTCACACTGGAATCTGTCCCTTAACACCTAGCTTAACGGAACGCTAAATGCAGCTATGTTTATGTCGCTGAATAATTTCTTCGATTTTAAATTTTCGCGATTTTTATCATAAACGAAATTTTATTCAACAAATTCCGCATAAATGTATCTTCACAATTTCAATAATCCTGAGTTAAGTTTGTTAATTATTTGTATACGCTGTCCTTTTGTTCGAAGCAGTTAAATAGTTATTTTGTTAGTAGTATTTTGCAACCGGATTGCTAGCATCGATATTTCACGGGTTTAAACCTGTAGAGATGAACGCAGTCTTTTTATTAGATATGATTTTGAATTTCTTCATGTCAAATTTTTAATATACTAGAAATAATTAATATTTTATTTTTATGTTTACCTTGTAGACAATACAAGTTATTTGTTCTTCGTGCGAAGGGTCACGAAAGTGTACGATAGTGTGCACAAAGTTCTGCAGTAGTATTAAAATGAAGGTACGATCGTTATACAGTAATGTCTCCCTTACCGACGTTCAGATTGTCCACAAAAATGGACAATTTGGGAAGAGGAGATACGATTATCCGAGCCTTGCGGCTCGTTTTTATAATTGTTGACAATTTATAACTATAAAAACAAACCGAAAGGCTCGTAACCGATATAATCGTATCTCCTCTTCCCAAATTGTCCATTTTTGTGGACAATCTGAGCGTCAATTAGAGAGACATTACTGTACAACAAAAATAGCTGAAATTCCGAAAAGACATGGAAAATTCGAAGTGTTTGGGAGTTCGAGAATAGAAATACTTCATCGTAGTAGTAGATACAGTTGCACGTACTCTTCGGAAACGTGCACTATCCTCGCTCGGGCTGACCCGACGCGTCGCTGTTTATATTAGAACGATAAGGAAAAGATCTGTTCCGCTCAGGTGAGCGTACCAGGAGGCGAGTCAAAATGGTCTGACATCCGTTCAGCGGGAGTCAACAACGCAAACGTCGGAGAAGATATTATCCGTGCAAACGTAAACCTTAGGCCTGCGTTAGAACGGTTGGCATGTGTCACCCAGTCTTTTATTCGCTATCGCTATATACTTAACTAAAAATATCGGAGCATTGTTCGTTTAGACCCGTGGCATGCTGCCATAGTATGCATATTGTTATTTCCATGTACTTTTATCCATATTTTCAACCAAAGAGCACGGAACATCGGATTTTTAGTTCTCGCATACGACTTTAAACAAAACTGTATATCATCCTTTATGAAAGTGATACAATTGTTTTCCTTCTTTAAGTTGTTAATTATGTCGATCTTCGTTGCCGTTGCATTTCATTTGCGCACACAAGATTGCTTTAACACGTTGACTGCCGCGTCACCCGTATTCGGGTGACAGCAAAAGTTCTCATCAGGCCACGTCACCCGTAATTTGGGTGACGTTGATTTGACTACTTACAAAGAATTTCCGAAAATATTTCGACAAATATTCTACAGGAGGTAACGAAACTATTGAATTCTTATAAA